GATAAACGATCTAAAAAGGATTCTAACGCAATACTGTATTTCAGCATCTAGACCGGCGATCGAATTATATTTACTCGGTGATATGCAATTTCATAAAATATTTTACTGTACAGTATATTAACTTCAATCTACAACGAAAGACAATAAAGATTGTCTTTCTGTTCTGATGCCCGTTCAATGTCCTAATCACAACAATCACTGATCCAGTATATATAAAAAAAATTAGGGACTATTTCATTGATGTAATAAGTCCTCAGTTATGGCAACTCATGCCTTAGTGTTACATGAAACTTCTGGTTTGAAAGTCGCTCAACGAAGCCAAAAGATACTTGGGAATGTGTACGTTGTAAGTCATGCCTTTGCTGACGCACGAATGCAGTTGCTGTATACAAAGGTGTCATCAAGGTTGCTGTTGTTGCTGAGATTGACCACCACTATATACTGAACACGAAATTCTTCTCATCGTCTCGCTCTGTGACTCAGAGATGCGCTTTGACGTCATCGCATTTCCGGTCATGCCACTATAAACAAAGATTTCCAAAATAAAGCAAGTCTCAATATAGATCGAACGCGAATTTATGAAAACGCATTGAAATTTCTACTATAGATGCTCTGAGGAAAAATCCGGAAAAAATTGAAGTAAACGAAAATTGAGCTTCAAACGAGCAAGGATAAAAAAATAATAAAGGACACAAAAAGCAAAGCATCATCAACTAGGAAAGCTAGTACAATAAAGAAAGTTTTCTGAGCATGATAAGGGCAAATTTTATTCAGTTCAGGTTATATAGTACGATTCTGATATTTTAGTATTTAGAAAACTGATGCTTATTATTTAGATATTACTATCTTAGCATCATGTAGTCCCGCACAAATTTATTGCAAAATATGGAACAAAAATCGAATTTATTTTCGTTTGTTGAACAGTATTCTGACCCGCCGTCATCACACCGCATGAAGTTCCAAGAATCCCCCTTAGATTTTGAAATGTGAAAAACGAAGAAAATCATCACTGCTGTTACATTGTCGACGCAAATTGTGACGTTCGTTGACGATGCGATAAATGCATCAGAAATTTCCAACTCGGAAATTATGAGTGTCATGTTTCTGCAGAATTTCGTAGCATGGAACATACTTCGGCGGTCCTCGTGCCGGTTTCATATGGTTCTATAAAATTTCAGGCTATTTTGAAGCCGCTGAATTTATCATTGAACACATGGTTTTTCTAATCATTAATACTAGGAAAATGTAAATTTGAATCTCAATTCAAGTATAAACCCGATTTTTAAAATTATTCAATTCATTCTGAAAAATCAAAATTTTCGTTAATCAGTTATCTTGACAAAGGAGCTCGTATCGTGAATCGAAAATTGTATTCATTTTAGAAAAACGTCCGTTTTTAATACCTTTTCAACCCTATCGATCGCCGCTAGACAACAATGAAGTCTTTCCAAAATGCAGAAAAATTGTAAAATTCTTCGAAGTCTGGTAACCGACTGGATCAACACCCAAATGCAAGCATGAAAAATAAACAGAAGAAATGAATCCGAACATACTTATATGCTTCATTTGAACTTCAGACAACAACAACAAAATCTGAAAAAGTTCACGACAGGTCTCACCTCAATACCTCATGTCATGAGAGTTTAGCTTCTTATGAAGAGTGAAGGAATCCTGAGAACTTGCCACTTTGAAACTTTGGATGACACCTATGGTGACCTTGATTATCAACGTGACAAACTCATAATGCTGTTATAGATTTACCTCTCAAAATTTGAAATCCAAAGCGTGGACTTGAATACATTTTGGAAACATTTTTGATACTCTGTTGAAGATTCAAATCGACTTCAATCCGGATCTTTAAATAGTTTTATTGAGGGGAAGTTGCATATTCCTGGTTTTAAAACAACCCTGATGCGTTTCGGAAAAATCGTGGAGTTTTTTAGAATTAGGTTTCTCAATATGTTGTAAATTTGTAATGCAGGATGTTTCATAGTTTGGGCATAGGGGGAAAAACAATGACTTCATGAAGCCAGTCATGAAACATTCGTGAACTGTTTATTCATAATACTTCGTAAAAGCACACCGAAAGGAGAAAAAAATTTTTTGAGGTAGAACCTGTTTCTTGTTTGTTTCTTCCGCAAGCATTTCAAGTCTTGAATTCCGACATCGTTAAGCAGGAACGTTGTAATGATCCCCGAAAGTTCGGCCCCTGTCCTCAGGCTCTCTTGCATACTGCGATCTAACAAATTTTATTTTGAAAAGGTGTTAAACAATGTACACTTCAGATGAATAAGAAACAAAGACCAACCTTCGATCGTAGTCTCGTCGAGTCGTGCCTCCCAAACTATAAGATGTTCTTCGATGCGAAGACCCTCTGGTGTGTCCCCATGGATTTGCTTCTGCCATTTGACATTGCAGAGAAAACAAGGCCAAAACGGCGAAGAAAATGCCCAAGAATGTCTGTGCAAATAAATAAATATACTTCCGCTAAATTTATCCCACATGGAAAAAATTGATCACCAGTGCCAGGCTTGAATGCCTGCGACTTTGCTTCTTTTCACAAAAACCAATTGAAGTTTGAAAATGTCCCAAAACAATTTTTAAAAATAAAATGTCGTTTCTTTTTGTTTATAGCTTCTCGACATCATTATTTCAGGGTGACATTGGGCCACATTTTAAGCAAAAATACGATTTTTTCTATGTAAATTATTGGAAACGAGTGAAATGGAAAATATTTATTTCAATTTATTTTTCTCGAAGCACGCGTAAAAATTTTAAAAAAGTTGCCTCAACGTTTGATTTACAAAGATCCCCATCAACTCTTGACCCTCTCTTTAGACTCTCAATTTTGCCAGGGCAGGTTGATTGAACATTTATAGAAGCATTCGCAAAGCTCATGATGTACACTGGAAAAATTAAATTCCACCCATGCAGTATCTCATCAAAACTTGACCTGGGACTCGACGACCCCGGGGAAAAAAAAGGGTAATACACATCGTAGATTAAATTTATAAATTAATGAATAATAAACTCGGGAATTATCAAGCACTGACCTTGTTCATGGCTGTAGCTTTATAAACTCGTCCCTAGCTTCTCGGAGTGGGAAGATTCTTGTCGGAGTGTCGAGCGAATTGACCCTGGGAATGCGATCACGTCGAGCTCGGAATACTTGACACTTGACCGCGAGACGTGAGTTGAATGGGAGTCGACCGAGTGCCATAGTCTTTTATATCAGTACGGAAAGAAACGACGCATATATTCTTCTGTTATACGGGGGGGGGGGGGGGGGGGGGGGGGCCA